TTAGTAGGAGCTTCTACCGATTATTGTCAGGGGAGACTTACAACCCTATGACTGCCCCGGTCACTTAATTTATGAATAAATAATTAAATACGTCAAGTCATTCTGCTATCTAAATGCGTGCGCTTACACGGCAATGCTAACTCAACAGTACTGTTACATCACAACAAAACAAATTTCTTCTTGTAGACCTCAAGATTTCGCCTTTGTAACTTTCATTTGCTTTGCGCCCGTCTTTGAACAAGATACACTAGTCTACAGCAGTAATTAGCCCTCTATCAGAGATACACTCTGTGGACTAGGATACACCGCCGTACATTCCAGTCTCAGCAGATATACACTCTTGAGAGCCGCGGCGTACTGCCGCTATTTTTAGCTCTCCCCCACCAGGAAATTTGCACGATTACTGATAGATGGTTCAAAAAACTTCATGTCGTGGTCCAAAGTATTGTAACTTGGTGCCCGCGCCAAAAATCTATCAGCTTCCTGCAATAGTAGGTCTATGACTCGACCAAGTTTTGCCAGGATAGAAGTGCGTGAAACCAAGCTTTTTTTTACCTCCAGTCGATCCATGACTTAAGGGTTCTTGCCACACCATACCTGGGTAAATATGATATCTTGAATTCAAGACGAGACAATTTAACACGCTGTCAAACGTAAAATTCTCAACTTTTCTCTTAGACTCGACATAACCTCTTACACTTTCACTTCGCATGATGAATGAAATATCATATCCGTTTTTGGGAAATTTTATGCCTTTTGGTACTCAAATATATTTGACATTCGCGCGTCGTACGTAATGGCACAAGGTTATTATACGTGACTCTCCACTCTCCACGGGGTTAGTTCCCATTAGTTTTAGCTCCAGGAGGTTGGTTTTAAGTCAGAAAACAACCGCGGGCGGTCGTATACTTCAGCGGGGCTGCCGTAGCTCTTTGATTTAAGAAAGCTTACTCAGGTCAACGACGTTTTATACTAGGACCAGTATGAGTGTAGCGGATCAAAAATCTTAACTCAAGGCAAATGTACACTTCTGTTCAAATTGGAACTGTATTTATTCGTTTTATTTGCGACAAAGCCGGCTATATCCAACTTTCAAAGTTCTATTAATTAACTAGTAAAACCTAATTAATATGCATAACTACTGGCAGACCTACCACGTAGTGACTTCTTGTTACGATGTAGCCACACCCCTTTGTACGTTTGCACCATTTTGTGTTACTCACCCTTCCACACAAGGGTACGTGTAACCTCGTTACAGATGCCCCTTCTAACGCAGCTCTAATCTTTTATACTTAATCCTTACACATTTGGCTTTTTTGTACCAAATTCACATTAGTTTGTAAAATTGTGAATCACAAGAAACATATATGAATTGATGACGATAACAAAACTCCAAATTTAGAATCTCAAATTTACCATAAGAATTAGCAAAATGTCAATGTTCCGTGTTTCTTTATATAGAAATATCTCAAAATATACCCACGCTGAACTAATAGCGATAATTACATTAGAGGCAATTGGATCTACAGCACACGAAACTATCCTATGTGTGTTTGTTAATGTGGCCATTTAATGCAAAATTTTTTGAAACCCGGTTGTAATGCTGCTTGGTTTCTTAACTTTCATACCTCGTACCTCAGCTGAGAGATAGAAAAAATTAGGGTGCTGAAGCTTATAAAATCCTCTGTGCAACATCAACATGTGTCACGGCGCAGATCAGCCGTATATACACATCTCTTTGTCTCCATAGCATCGGTGGAGTCCATCACCCCTTGTGCACTCGTAGAGTTACCACCTTTAAAAACTTTGACCTATTCTCGCGAAATAGAAATTATGCTTCATATTCGATGCAACATTCAGTGCCTTTCTGAATAAGCGAGGGTGGACGTGGATGATCTCGGCGTAAACACACATGTTCAGTAGTCATCCTTAAAAATGATAGGTGTTAACGTCTCAGAAAGAAGGCCTGCCACCACTGCGGTGGTCGAAACCCTCCCGAGCCGGGTGAACAACAAATTTGAGCGCACCCGATGCGCCTAGTCAGGCGATGCAAACACGTCACATGATCTCTCCAATGTGTGGAGGTCTCTTTGACAGAGTAACTGCTACTCAGTGCCTATATTCGCGCGCGGCTTCCTACCAAAATACTGCAAGAACGACGCCGACTTGCTCCGTTTCGAGATCGACCTAATTTATGGCCATATCTATCGAGAGAAAGAGCGACCAAAAGCTCTACATTCACGGCCTTGTGCAGAGTGCCATTTGATCTCCCACAAATCTCCAGTCAGGGCGTCCATGGAGGTATTTTACCAGCACATCCTCGTAGCTGGTTACACGCCAGGCGAACAATAACTGATCTTGTTTTTTAAGCATCAGCCCTTGATCTCTTCGAGGCCAACGTTAGACATACGATTACCATACGTGTCTAGTTGTCTTGGGGTCAGGAAATCGAATAAATTTTGTTCAATCCTCATTTGTACAGATAAAGATTCGTTTAAGAGTTCGGGATAACGGCTTGAAAAACAATTTGCTCGAGCGATCCTACGTTTGCGGTACTCTCATTATTAATTTGCGATTTTGATCTTTCATTTTAGGAGTCCATACAGTCGTTCCTCAGATAACTCAAATCCGGGTAACTTACAACCTCGTAATACTAATAAAAAATTCCCCATCAAGCTTATTTGAATGTAGCCAAGTACTTACTCGTGACTGGTAAAAATAGCCAATTATGAGTCACCCGAGTAGATAGCGCTAACCCCTTCGGGTCTTTCTGTCACATGGACATAATGCGATGTTAGGTACTGCATTAATTAACCTTTTTTACAAACATGAATTTTGTTGATATAAAAGACAATATAGTGCCAAGCAAGCATGCTGGACTAATTTGAATTCAGCCACGAATGGATGGTAGTCTGGTCTGTCGCCATCGGTTTGAGAGATTTCTGCAGCTCTCGAATGCGCCTGAGTACCACTCCATCTGTGGAATTCGTAACTCCCAGCACTTTTTAGCTTTTCCACATCTTCGTTTTCTTGTTCGCCATTCTCCTCTTCTTCCGCCTCCTGAAACAAGGCTATTATCTTGTCGTCATATAACTCCAGATTGGCTATGTCGTCCTCCATCACTGGACTCAAAAGCTCTTAGATAGCCATAGGTTTATTAAGAGGAAGCGTCGCACAGGTCAATTAGCTCCTCCATATTGGGCTTCATTATTTAAGGAGGCCCCGCAAAGCGACGAGTGTGGCGAAAACAATAGACCACGGTGGATACTGATATCTCTTCCCAAGCAGCCTTGCTTCATTTTCTTGTGGCTAGCTGATCGATCTTATAGATGTTGATTTCACCTCGATCGTCACGATCAATAGCATTTCGAAGATGATAACGTCTGAAGTATTACTTGGACGCGGAGATTATCCAGGCACCCATAGACGTGCACTTAAGAGAAAAGAAGACCACCTCGACATTACTTACCTCGTGATCGCCGACTGGCGTTATCTAGAAAAAGAATGATCTGCCTATTTTTGGCCAAAAAGAACAGTGATCGAAATTGTTGAGAGCACATTTAAAGCGTTTACATATTGTACCTTCATGTCGATGTCAAGCCTTTTCAGCCCAGTTCTGGAAGGTGGGCTGGTCATTCACGCTTCTTATTGCTGCGAAAAAAATACACAGTTGCTCTCCTGTCTTCCAATTGAAACAGCGAGGCTTATTGGCCTTTCCAATGAGCAATGGCTTGGGCTTCTCTAACCCATATCAGCAAAGGCAATAGGGATGCGGTTCTATGATTCAGAACGGAAAATGACAGTTAATTCAACCTTTTCATCTAAAAGACCATGATTATATGCAAACAAACTTACTTTGTCTTGTCTAAGTCCCTCAATCTGCTGTTGTGCAATGGTTTTTTCTAAAACTATGGAATGAAAAAATCCTATGAAGATTTAGGATTAATGCCTGATCTGCAGCACCACTCTCACCAGGAGCTCTCTTGAAAGCGTTGAAGCCACTCATTGGAATACTCGCGCAAGCGAAATCGGCCAGCAAAGACTTTTGCTTTTGTTTTGATGATATCGCCAGTGATGGCTACATGCCTTGTCTGACATTGAAGCACCCATGCTGCCATGACTTCACCAAGCTGCGGGTGATGTGCAACGCGGTACCGTTTTACCGAAAGTTCAGCATCTGTCATGGCCTTGAGCTCGCGACTCTTTTCGAGGATGCTGCTACTAGCAGATTGAGTGATTCCAACGCTAAACTTCTGAGTAGCCCATGTTGCAAGCGTATTTTGACTCGTCCACTGATTTTTGGCCTTTAATTGCAGACCTTGAGCCTCTGCACGTTTGTTAAACGTGCTGGTGGCATATTTATTGTATATGTAATTTTGCACCTTTCGAAAAAAATTTCGCAAAATTACTTGGATAACTAATAACCGTGACTATCTCATAGATATTTTTCTACTGCATTTATTAGTTATTCGAGGAAGAACTTTATACGAAATCGGCTCTGCAGCTCACGATTATTTCGATTGAAACTAATGTTACAGGTAGACTTTTTTTATTTTGATACGAACAATGTAACACGACATAATAGTAGCATCTTCTTCATAGGTACGAATTCTCTAGTACCTCTAAATTTCTACATTTAAACAAAGTTTCGTATGAGATTGTACAATTGTTTGATCTAATACAAAACGTACCCCATCATGGGATACTGCGTTACTGAGACACTAAAATAGTAGCAGACGATTGTCATTAGTTAAATTTTGAGGATAGATAGTGATTTGGCAAGGCAAACTTTAAATAAGTATGAGAGCCGGGACTATTGTAGTGATTATGTCAACAGATTGACGTTCAAGTGAAATGTTTCTTCTGACCCCATGTACCCACGCTTAGATTCTTGACCATCACTCCCAATCATTTATTGTCACATATAGTATTCTATATTACAGTGATAAATGAGGTTACAGCCACTTTACTAAATCCAGCCATTAAAACAATAACCGTTCATGACTGACTCTACAATTTTGGACGATATCAACGCGGCCGATTCGGCTATCACTGGTGCAGACTTGTTGGTATCGCTAGACAGATATACAACGCTATTTTCTGACACAGACATAGAATTGCAGCTTTTGGACTTGACCCCTGGCGACAATTTCTTTGACTCCCTCGAAGATGAACGACACTTTGGAGCAACTGACAGTGATAGTAAATCAATTGACACCGAAAGCGTTGCCTCCATCTCTCCTCGAGTCTCAGAGGCTGAAAATATTCGTATGAAAGACGCGATCCGACGCAGCAATTATCGACAGAAGCGAAAAGCCGAGAAGTTCGACCTCCAATTAAAGATTCAGGAACTGACAAGCCAACTCACAGCGTTACAAATGAAAAAGGAAGCAGATAAGGCCAAAAGTGGCTTAGGATCGGTCTCCATGGCAGTGTGGAAGGCACTTGCTGATCGCCACTTGCAAGCGAGACTTGTAGCAGAAGAGCAGCAACGCCGACTTCGGGAAGCGATTGAGAGAAGGTCAGCTTTGATTAAGGACATGGGCGCGATTGTCTGTCAAAGATTATCGCAAGAGCATAGTGAAAGCTACGTTCCGCCTCGAAAGAAGTCTCGAGTCGAGTCACCTGACATGAAGTTATATGGAACTTTTGTCAAGGAGCTGGATGACGCATACATTCGAACTGACAGTATTTTTAGCCAATCAGAAGTACAGATGCTGCAAACTGACGACAGTAACTACGGTATGCGTGCAGTGCCTAAGAAAGCAAATTACTATGAATTGGCGGGCAAGAAGACAACTCCGTTTCCTTTTGAGCGTGTTCGACTTTTGATTGATCGAGTGAGTATTGTGGAAAATCGTACGAGCTATGAAAAGATTGATTTGTCAGATGTTGCCGGCCACACAAGTGCATTCAAGTGTCGATTCGAAACTCGTTTAGGCGATGCAGTCGGATGTCTCATTCAGCATGTACTTTTACGTTATTATAAAGAGGCTGATCGAGTTGTTTGCATTTGCCGCAAATTCACCGAAGGTGAAGGAGTGTATGCTGGAATGCATGCGGACGAGACCGGATGGAACGTCATTGAGCGTTGCGCAAACGGAGCTGGAACTGTCATTAAATCTATTTTTCGATATGTGCCCATGTCTTTTAGTACAGTGGCCTCTGCTGATGGTAAATTGAAGAAATTTACAGACAAAATTATATCAATTGGAGAGGAAGATTGTCAAACCTGTGGACGCAAGTTAGAAGCACTTTTGTTAGATGATTCTCTTGGTGATGCGTGCCAGCGCAGAGGTACAATATCATGATAAGCTCGCCGTATATCACCTTGATTAGTCAAACAGTGTTTGTATCATTTAGGCGGAAAAATAAATCGAAAGGTGAAATTGTTTGTATGAAAGTTCATATTCTATCGTTGGTCTCTCTTTGTGGACAAGACTCAGATATCAGTACAGACGAAAATCAAATGCCTTGTAGCTAGCTGACTCTACCTCTCAATAATAAAAGAGCATGTATTGAATGGTTATATATGACTTTGTATATAGTATTCAGTATTCAGCATTTTTACGCTATTCCGACACTACGACATGGTGGGTCTTCTTCGCCATTTAGACGACCCAACGGCCTTAGATGGCGAGCTACTTCATTCAATCAACAAAGATATGTGTAAGCTTGTGCCATCTTCTTTAACTATGGGCACAACAGCCTTAAACGATTTATCCAACATGCCGGACACAAAAGGTCATCACCCTGACATCATAAGTGCTAGTGTATCTTCATCTGAAAGTATCTTTGCTGCAGATAATATTCGTACTCAAGATGCTAGTCGACGCAACACGTACCGACAAAAGCAAAAGGCACACAAAGAGGCTTTATACATGCAAGTTGAAGAGCTCTCAAGTCAACTCTTTGCACTCATGGAGGCAAAAGAAGCGGCTTTAGTGAGCATAGATATGACGCAGGGGACAATCTGGAAAGCTCTTGCAATTAGAAATAAACAAGTTCGACAGAACGCTGAAGATCAACGTGCCAAGTTGCGTGCAGCTGTTGATAGACGAGCAAGACTAATTCAAGATTTAGGACAATTGGTTCAGAAGAGGATGCATGAAGAAGCACTTGAAGATCTGGTATATACAGCTAAAAGACTTCGCACGGAGACGCCGAACAAGGCGTTGTATGAAGTATATTTGAAGGAGCTGGACGAAATTTATGCAAAGACGGACAGTATCATTTATGCAACGGCTAAACTTGCAGACATGAAGACTTGTGAAAGATCTCGACTATTCTACTATCCACCACAACCTTTTTCCAGCAATTCCAGTTGCCATGAGCTTATAGGCATGTTTACGACACCGTATGCTTACGAGAAAGTGCGTAAGAATCTGTACGAAATGTACTGTTTGGAATTCCGTCTTGGTTCACTATCTCATGATGCTGCAATTACGAAATATCGAGTGGAAAGCTTGATGGGTTCTGCAATTCAACATTGTGTTAAACGACAATATAATGAATGCAACCGTATTGTGATTGTATGGCGAAAATTTACAGAAGGTGAAGGAAATTTTGGTGGGATGCATTCAGATGAAACTGGATGGTGTGTCGTAGGACCATCGAAAAGAAATGGAACTTTGAGCTCCGTGGTGCAATTTGTCTCTCGATTTGTGCCGATTCATTTGAGTGTTGCATCAGCTTCAACCAACCTCATGAAACAATTCGCTGACCTGTTGGTCAAAAGCAATGAAGAAATTTGTCAATTAGGTCTACAAACGCTTGAGAATGAAATTCTAGACGACGCAGAGAGAAGTAATTGATGAATTAACACATGATGTGTTAAATGGCTTTTGAAAAGGTCCCATGTGTTTTTTAACTAATTGAAATTATAATTCAAGTTGACAAAGTAATTGGAATCTTCGAGATCCAAAAACATCTTTTGTGTTCTTTTCGAAAGAAACAAATTCTTGCGTACGTCTACCAGCTGCCGTAAACGCCTGTCATTCTGTCCAGTTTATGTAAAAATAGTACTGGTATATTATTACGTATCATTATAAATTACAATGATTAGGCAATCAATGTTACAACAAGACGCAATCTGAGGTACAGTAAAACCTGTCTAAATTAAACATGCTAGGACCAGGAGACAGTGTTTAATTTAGAAAGGGTTTTAAATTAAACAGGTTTATTTAGACAGGTTTTACTCTATGGTTCCCAACATGGGTCCATATTTTTTGTCCAATTTTAAGAAGGGTTTTAAATTAAACAGGTTTATTCTACTGTATGCGGATTGGATATTCGACACACGCTTCTACATAAGCACATTGAATAATACTCCCATCCACATATTTTCTTTTCAGTGTTTGCGTAACATACTTTCATTCATTGACACGCAAATTGAGCACAAAGAATGGAGGATTTTGTATTGGACGAGCTACTGGACTTCCTACAAGCCTCTGATGAGTTGACTCTACCAGCAGCTTTAATGTTAGACAACGAAAAGTCAGAATTCGAAAGTATAGACATGGCACCTATACCAAACTCTCCAGCTCTCGCTTATATCGCACCAGCTCCCTCTCGTGTTAGTCAGACTGAAGTGCGAACACAAAGGTCAAAGGATGCTATTCGTCGCAGTGAATATCGCAAGCGTCAAAAGGCTGAAAAAGAAGCTTTGCGTCAAGAAATTAATGATCTGTCGGCCAAGTTAGACAAGCTACAAAATTCATCGGGGGAAGAGATATCATCCCCAACTACTGATGCTGCATTGTCTACGTGCTTGTGGCGAGCTATTGCTTGTCGGCAAAACGAACACCGACGAGCTGCAGAAGACGAACAGTCTTATCTTCGTGCTGCTATTACGTCTCGTGCCAAATTAATTGAAGATCTCCGTGGCTTTCTGCAAAAGCGTGCTTATGAAGGTACAATCGCGAATGGGGACTTCGGAGACGCTCCCCCACTTCAAAAGCGCATGCGTCTTGAAGCAACCGATTCGGCATTATTTGAGACCTTTTTGCAAGAGCTGAATACGGTGTATTTACAAACAGACTACGCTGTGAGTATGTGTGAGTTGGCCGCAGGAAGTGACATGCCGTTGATAACAAAACACAAAGATGGAGCAATTGAATCATACCAACATGCTGAGCGTCAACTGATGCCGTTTAAATTTGAACCAGCCAGTCGTTTTATATGGCAGATGGCGCAATTGAAGCATCGACAAGAAGATCGAGAAATTTACGAAGGTGTCGAGGACCCCGAGAATACAATGGCGATTAAATTCCGCATTACAAGTCGTCAAATGGGCGAAGCAGTGTCACTCCTTCAACGTGTAGTCATACGTCGGTATCAGGAGAAAAATCGAGTTGTGGCCGTGTGGAGAGTCTTTACCGAAGGTGAAGGACTGTTTCGAGGGATGCATTCCGACGAAACAGGGTGGGGAGTGCTTCGACCATCGACTACCGAAGCAGGTATATGCACCGGAACGATTTTTGATATATATTACCGACAAGTGCCCATGCACTTTAGTCATTCTTTGACTTGTACCCCTGTTGTCAATGAATTCACTAAATTGGTGATTAACATCGGCGAAGAGGAAAATCAAATTGTGCAGCAGGGTCTTGAAAACATGCTTCTTGATGACGAGTTAGAACAGGAAGCTAAGAAGAATTCATAACGTTTCTCTCGATAATTATTAAAACGAATACATCCAAATTTGAGTTTCAGTTTTCAGGCTCTGACACAGCTTTACCAACATTTATCCTTCCGTTTGGAATTGCTATGTACCGCTCATATTCGACAGACCTTCTCTTTGACTAGTAGAGCTGATTGGACAGCAAGAAGTTCGATGTCGAATGATGCTTGAGAGGAAATCTCAACATTTTGATCATCCATTTACACCGCAAAAAAACATCTCGAGCGTCAAGTCTTATCATAGAGCTGTTCTATGTATACATGTCTAGTAATGATCCGAGGGTATTGATTAAGTCAAATATAATACTTCACGAGAGTTTCCATTGAGGCTGCAATTTGATTTGAGCTTTGAGTAGATGGTTTAAACTTTCGACATACAAGCTCAGAAATTTCACACTGAAGACTAGAGAAGAAATATTTGTCGTTGTGACAATGCTTATCAGCGTTCTCATTTACCTTTACTCATTTGAAACAAGTAGAACTTTTTGCTACTAACTTTACTATTTAAAACATGTAATGGCACTTTCCTGTGACGCCTCAGATCGTGATAATATACTCTGCAACTCTTGAGCTTGCTCGGTGATTTCTTGCGGCACTCCGATAATATATTAGTATACTTCTTGACCTTGCGATAGTCTGCATTTTTGATGTTTTAATCGACGAGGCACAGGAGCAGCAATTGGAGGCTGCTCATAGGGCGACTCACATGCACTCGTATCCGGGTTCGATCTTAGACCCTCGTATGTAGTACGTCTTCTGCACGGCTGCTGAATCGAAAGATGCGATCACTCGATCGTTAGGCGTCTACGTAGTCGGGCCCCTGGCACTACACAAGCTGAGCTTGATCAGCGGAAAGCTTTCCGAGCTCAATTTTTTGGTACCACAAGAGATCCCAATGAATCGGTACCGCGCTCGACTTCGAGCTAGAAAAAGAGGTGCTTCTATTCCCGCAATGCGGACCATCCCTGTGGTTCTCGCCCCTAGCAAAACCGCTGGAGATGACGATGAGCCCTTTGAGCGATAGGTACAGCGGCACCGAAAACTTTCGTCGCATTCTACCTTACAGCGAAGCCACAAGGAAGTAGACGTGCGCTTTGAGTGCCACCTTAGATTTGTCAAATTCAAGACGCAACGCCATTTTCCGTCGCCCTGCGACATATGGAACAATCTATCGCGCTCCCAAGAGCTCTGTAATTTCCCACACGGGTCAGTCTACGACCACAGTAGCTCAGGGCCATTGCTTGAGCTCTGCTCATGGCCCTTCAACTTTCCAGGTTACTGCAGGGAAGTGCGGAGCGTGGCGATGCGGAGCGTCATGATCCTTCTGATCATGAGCGTCCACGACGTCTGGACAGTCTTGCCGAAGTGGCACTTCAATCTTCCACGATTTCTCGGAGCCCGCCACATCACAAGATATTCGGTTAACCTCGTCGTTGATGACGACCCACAAGGCTTTTCATGTGATAGTGAATGCCACCATTCTCATCGAGAAGAGTCGGAGGCGATTGGTTATAATACCACTTCCCCGGAAGCCGAGAGGTTGGAAAACGGACATGGTGTCCGCAGGGTTTGAGCTGAGCTCACGTCGCGCCGTTGGCGCAACTTCGTCCTCCTCGTCACCTCATGCTGGGAAAGGAGTGTCCGACTCGTGGTCGTGCTTGTATTAACGCTCATGGTACACTAAATCGCAGCCGCTGAGAACAACTTTTGTAAGTCATGGTTGCGAAAAATATCTTCAAAACGTTCATTTTCCGTATAGATCAAGCATCTATACTGAGTATTCCAACATTCCTCGTGACGTTTTGGCAAATCATTGCGATGAAGATGGCTCGGATGCTATACTCCCAGTCATTACCGAATTAATTTTCTAGCATCTTGAGGTGTCAGTATAAATCATCAATTAAAATCTGATTGCTAGATTTTCATTGCTTGCGAGTCTAGCGACTTACTGGTTTCCATTCTAAGGTGCGCCGGAATTTCGCTGAACTGCTTACAATAATGATAGATTAGTCATTACGGAGAGCACAAAGACATGTCAAAATTTTATACGTGATTGATCCACTTGCCGTAGGGGTCGCTCACAACAATCTTATCCATTCGCGGCTACCCACACTATGGCAGAGCTTTGATCAAGAGCATGGGTCTCGAAAGGCAGTCTCTTTTGACTTAGGCAGACAGATACTATAACTGGGTTGCTGTGACACCTAGAGAGTGGGTCCACCCTTGTTACAAATTCGGGACTTAGTCGGTAGCTCACCGCTTTCAGCGGAACATCACTTACTCTCATGAGCTGTACCCGCAACATCACGTAGATGAAAAGAGCCATGAAACCGACCACCTCCAGGCCTACTTCGCAAGCCAACTTTAAATGTCGTTTTAAGCGGACCACTGCCTCGCTGAAGCTAACTTTTGAAGCCGAAAGACATGTGTGGCAACGTGCCTTCATCATCCAGTGCGCGCACTCACTGACTCTAATTATGCGACGATGCCAATGCAGCGAGATAATGGCTCTCCTTACAAAGGGTGGGTTGAGGATTGTTTGCCCCACCTGTCAAGCCTGATTCCTCGTTGTATCCAATACCCCACGTTTTCAGGCCCCAATGGATCAAATTGCTGCATTTGCACGGTTGCACGTAGAAGTGGTGCTTGTGCTTACTCTCATTGAAGTGAGCATTATATTCTGTAGATTCAACTTTTGATCTCAGTAGCGCTAATTACTCTTCGTCGCTTTTGCCAGCGCTGAAACTCGGATTTTCGGGCCTAGGCGAGGGTATGGATTTATTTGATAGCTGCGACACTTGGCAGATGTGATTTTCTTTGGTGTGGTGTCCTGATGAATTGGCATTAGCCACCGAATCCTGAATATTATTCCATTGAATGTGGAGCGGCTTCATCAGAAGTTGTTGTAACCTTGAGCTTGCAGATGAGTATCACATTAAGCAAGGCCAGACCCAGATCGTTAGTAAGAAGCTTCATGGCGTCGAAAGTTCAGCGGTAGGGAATCATGAAGCCCTTCATCATAGCGAACGGATACTGATAGATGAGACGTAAAGTGTAGAGAACGCCTCTGATTTCGAGTGAAAATGGATTCAAGTATTTCAATGAGTCAAAGAATCAGGAATGGGAAACTCTCTATCACATCTGATTTTGCAATGTGCTGTCCTCCCCTCAAAGTTTGGCGCGTATTTTTTTGGTCACAGCTAGCTAACTAGACCATCTAGACCATACAGATATTTGATCATCGATGATAATCAACTCCTGTATACTGCATCGCCATGAGTCAATCAGTCAACGTGTCTGCGGAGCTTTCACTTTAGATACCATTATTGTAATGGTAAAACCTAGAACCGCACCACGATACTTCACTGTAGACTCAACGGGTACGAGCGCAGCTTAAAGGTTTTGGAGTTAGCAGCACAGTGAGACGTTGCGCCCCGTATATGCCAACAAGACTTCAGACTTGACTTTGCGCTCCAAACTTCCACTACAAAGTCCAAGTTTCAGCAATGAGTTTAAAGTTTTGAATAGGAACACTTAGTGTTACTGTTTGTAGATAATGTCGGTACCCACAACAACATCGAACTGAAGCATAATATCGTAATATATGCGTACATCATAACAGAGTGCAAGTCCGTTCACTCCTTTCAAAGACTTCAATATCTCCGTAGCTTGAGAAGCCGCCAAATCAAGTATCAAGTGGTTAAGTTGGTGAATGTCCTAGTCTGTGAGAAGTGTGAGATACTAGCGGATAAGAGCAGTGAAAGAAACTAAGGGTTTCAACATACCACCTCTCTGACCAACACAGCTTATGATAATGAGCTCACTAACACTCGAGATGGGTGTTGAATTAAGGGAGTTCGTTGAGGCGGCGAACGATAAATTTGGGTTGACTTGTTTCACTCAGCCGCACCATCAGCACCTCCGCATACAGCTGACTTCCTTCCATCGTTGATCGTCGAGTAGAATTGTCTGACGCCCCGGAGTCGATCAGGTTCTGCCATAGCTTTTCAAAGCCCCTCACGGTGGCTTCCACAGCAACCAAACCCGGCTTGCATACACGTTCCGTGTTCAAGTGCACGGAACTCTTCAGGGTGTCCCCTGCTGACCACTACCTCCTTGAGGCTCAGTAGAACTATGTTCTTCTCGGTAGGCCACACACCGCCTATTGAATGCTGTCGTTTCGCCGCGACAAATCTGACTGAGTAGAAGCGATACGTCGGCTCAGATAATTTTGTTGCGCCTAGCGAAGGGGACAATAAGTCCAAAGGTGACGGATGTGTTCACATCGGCTAAGACCCATTCGACGAGTTGCTAGAGTGTGCACTCCAATCAAGTCGTTCCGACTTATAGTTTAAACTGGCATTCAATGTTACACTTAGATCTTCGTCAAAAGAAGACGGGTGCACAAGTATGACTTCCATTCTAGCAACGCCAGTGCGGAGCCCATCCAAAACGACGGACACTGTGACCGCCTCGGATAGAGGATCGGCTGCCCTTCCGGCAATGCAACTGTTGGGAAAGTCCACCAATTCTTTCTTGCCTTGTCGGGTAGCAAAGGAAACGAGTTTGCACGCGATATAGCTGGTTGGGCGACGATGACACTTGTAAAAAAACAGCTTCAGCTCCGTCCAGGAGGGAGACGTCGCTTTGACGGAAGTGCCGCACGTCAGTGCCCACTCTCGCGCTCAGCACCTGAGCTTGAAAACAGCTAGCACCACGCGCTATTGCTCGGGCTGGAGGTGGCGAGCGCCATCGCCACCTCCTCTCCTACCCAGAGCAGGAGATTCTTTCCACCCTTGCATTCGAAGATCCCAGCACTCGCCGGCTTGGGTTGGGGGTAGCCACCTGTTGTCGACGGTGGCGTCATGGACGCAGTCGAAGCCAAAATCTTCTGCTGCAGGTTAATCTAACAGAGCATTTCATAGGTTGAAAACGCGTTTAGGTCTGCTCTTATCGCCTAACGTCCTTGCGAAGCAAGTTGTTGCACGCCCTCAAGGCCAAGCAGGTCAATCAGCTTATTAAGCCGGCCTGCATTTTCGAGGGCAAATACGAAAACTGCTTCATCCTTAAAGAGGGTCAGTTTTAACGAGCCAGGTGTAGACTATCTACAAGTGCTACCAAATGTAGCGGGGCTTTCGTAGTACTTTCCTTCGGAGGAAGCTTGGTTATGGTCGGTGACCTTCGTTCTATACTTTGATTCAGAAAGAGTTTTGTGGATTGCAATCCGCTTACTCCAAGAGTAATGACAACCTTAACTCAAAGCTAATTGAATCTTCAGTTTAAAACGTAAACTGTATTTTCGGTGGATTTTGGGGGTAAAGCCGCCTATTTGTTAATCTATAGGTTCTCCTATATAATATATATAGGAAAACCTTATTAAATGTATGACTTCTGGCTGTCCCAGCCACGCACTGACTTCTTGTTTGTGTTTAACCTCACCATTGTACGATTACACCATCATATGTAGCCCACACCATATAGTATGAACCATACCGTTCGTTCCGTGGCACGTGTACCCCCGTTACATGTTGCACCTGCACAATTATACGAGCTACCGGCTTATTTGTGGTGTGTCACCCCCAGTGCTTATTGAGATCCCCACTCCCACATTCCCACAATTCTATATCTTTGTATCTGCTTTCTCAAGGAGGCTAGGTTTACGCGAAAAGGATCCGTGCGAGGTCACGTGCACAAAGACCTGTCATGAATAACCCATTTTAATTTTCCAGACGAGTAGCTGACATCTTCGCTTTAAGTACTCTTAGATTTCGGACGCATTCTAGCGACTCTATCTCTCTGTGGCGGACAGACAAAACCTTCGTGATTTTGTGCGTCTGAGAAAATACTGACAAGATCTGTCGATTAAGTGCTTATCATCTTTAAGATGGCTCGTTTACTGATAAAAAGCATATAAGGGCATCATTCAAAATATACGACGCTTGCGCTCAACAACCTAAGTATGATGCTAAATGAATATATATTGCTCATTTTCAGTGAAGGGATGAGTCAATGTCTCTATTAATCTCGCGCAACCGATGGAAAATAACTCGCTTCTTTTTAATTTGAGATATCATCGCTTATCGTAAGGTATATTTATTTAAAGTGAGATACAAAAGCGGCTTTTTCGTGAGGTCGAGTTTCAGCTTTTCCCGGTCACCATTTTTCAGTTCGTAGCTGGTGAACACCTTGAGTTGTTAGAACAGCTTTAATGCTATGGGTAGCCAGATATATAATACGTTCAAGAAAGAATCTTATAAAGAGTGTCTTTTTGGATTATAATAGGTGGAAATGTCATATAATCCTTCCCAAGGGCAAAGCTTTATTGGCATCAAGCTATTGAATCAACGACAGCAATACTAAGCGCGACGGCGTTGCACCTAAAGATAAAAATGGACTTTCCTTGGTGAACATTGAGACCTTCGAGGGCAATGATGAAGAGAATCTCCTACTCTGGGTGAGAGAGGTTGAGATGGCTATGGTATCCTTCATGTACCAAAACAAGCAACAGCGCGTGGCGCTAGCTATCTTCAAGCTCAGGGGCCGAGCACGAGAATGGGCACTAACGTGCGGTTTCGATTGAAGCCCTCCTGGACAGAGCAGAAGCTGAAGCTTTTGCAAGTATTCTCGCCGCCTACCCAGGAATATTGTGTGCGATTGCGATCCCAACAAGGCGTGAAAGAATTGGTGGTTTTTGCCCAAGCGTTGCGAGCTCTCATTGCCGAGATAACAGACTGCCCTCTCCCGAGGAGGCTGCAGTGACCGTCTTTATGGAGGGCCTCCGCATTGGAGTGGCCAGATCAGAAGTCTTCTGTGTGCATAAAGAAGCGAAGCGGTGAATGTGGCATTGACTTTGTTGGAATGCACATCCCTATGGCTCGTCGAGCATGCTTAAGTCAATGGATCTCAGCTATGCCAAAAACGAGGAGGCAGAGCTTAGAGTGTTGGGTAGCGTTCGAACACCCGACAGTATATTCTCTGTAGAGATACCCGTCACGTTCGGGTTGGTTGTCCCCTTCGCAAGGCGCGTCATGGTTCGTCGAGCCGACGTCCTGCTTCTCCCCAGCTCACTGGCTTGTCGCGGGGAAACGACGAAATCCAGTAGGCGCGGGGTGGCGTACAGGGCAAAATCTGAGCTCTGTTAAGCCTCAAGGAGGTAACGGTCAGCATGTCCCAGCCTCGAAGAGCTCCGTGCTCTTGTACACGGAACGTGTATGCAAGCCGGGCTTGCTGGTCATAAAACTTACCGTAAAGGCTTTGCCAAGTCATGGAAGATCTGGACGTCGGGCAGTTATACTCGACACTCCACGATAGAAAGAAGTCAGCTGTATGCTGATGCCTTGAAAGCGAGGTTGAGTGGCCCCGTCACTGTTCACTTTGTGACGGGGAGTTTTGTCACTGTACCGATTGTTCCTGTGGACCTCGGTGTCCGGTTCTTTAAGTTTGATAGCGTAAAACGCTGTCCAGTCTTAGACTTGGGTGCAAGGTATATTGGTATGGTATGGTTAGTACACCATGAGCCATGGATCGATCAGAGATCGAGACCTTGGTCACTTCGCGCACGTCTCTTAATGAAGCTTTGGTTAGTCATGAACCCACCTCTGCTACAAAGCAGAAGCACTATTGGTATGGCGCTGGACCGGGACGGTCAATGCGCTGGATATCGAGTATCTGAGTTGTCGAACACCGAAGGTGTAATCCCGAGCATGGCTCGCGGGCTGAAAGTGTAGTGGCAGGTAACCCACTGAGCACTGCTCACGTTTCGAAACAGTTGCGGCATACCAAGAGTGGCATGTTCGTGCGAGGACAGAGGCATCCTAGGTAAGGGTGTCCAGATGCTCGAGAAGTGGCACTTTATCTACGGGACAAAAACACGGAGCTAGCAGCTTCGATGGAGCGGGGAGTGGAGACACCGGACGACGCTGAGTGCGTGTTCAGACTAGTCTTGATGAGACATTACTCTTTAGAGAGAAGACGGA